ATTTTGTTCAGTTGATGCCCAGGGTTAAATTTTCAGCTTTGGAATGAACTCAGAGGTGTTGAATTGGAGTAGGTTTTGGAGTTAAACTTCAAACAGCTTCACAAAGGATGCTTTCTGGGAAAAAGCAGCTGCTTCCAGAGGCTTTGCTGTCACATTTCCGGCTCCTCCCATGAGCATCTTCTCTTTTTCCTGATGGCTTACCTGACCACCCTTCAGTGGGACATGATGGAGACAGCATTCAGGCTGTCAGCCAGAGATCTGGACACAGGGGTCAGAAAGCAGGCACTGGAGTTATTTTGGCGAGCTTACCTTGAATAGGCACTTGGATTTAGGTGGCCAACACGTTGATCTTGGTTCCTACTGAAGGTCAAAGTCACTAATATGGAGCTGGGAAGAGTCATGTGAATCCAAGGCTTGGTGCTGAGGCCAGCTGTTCTGCTCTCTGTGTTCGTCTTACTCTGGTCCACGCCCCAGAGCCGTGTGTCGGTTGTGCGGAACCTGATGGCAAGATGCAAGGCAGCTGGGCCCGGCTTTTTGGGCAGATCATGGTCCAGAACTCGTGGTCCAACTGCAGTCAGTTCTGCTGATCAGTGTCATCTATGAACATTATTCCAAAGCACTCTTTTTGTTTCAGGTTGAAATGTGAAGCCACAAGGTCCAGCAGAATTTTTGACAGAACTTTGCACTGAACCAGCAGCTCCAGCCTTCTGTCATCAAAGAGCTGCACCTGTAGTGCCTGTCCTCTGTCATCTGGTATACTTCCGCAGCCCGCAGAAGTCCGCAGAACCTAGTGGTAAGCCCGCCGCCACGGCTCCGTAGACCATCTCCACAGCATGGACACTGTCAGGTTCCATACGAAGGGGCTGCTGGTTAACAACAGGTCCTCCATGCAGCACATGAACACCGAGGCCATGCTCTTGGCTCCAGCCAGGGTCCCCACTGCCATCCCAAAGCCACCTCTGCGGGCAGCAGTGTCAAGCCTGTTCCCTGCCTGGTCTACAGTGTGCATCCCGGCCGGTTCTGGGCGCCATGCCGTGGGATTGGGCACTGGCCACCCAAAGGCAG